ATAATTAAACTTTAATTTTATTAACACTGTATTAGTTGATATATTGTTTTAATATAACTTGGTAATTTAAAATTTAAAAAAAAAATGGTGTTTTATATAACTCGTTTTACACTTCATTAAAACTTAATTTTATTAAAATTTTAAATGATTATCCAATAATTAAACCATTAATCAATTTTATTTTTGATTATAATTAACAAGGTACTTTATATTTAACAAAATACTTTGCCATCTAGTATTAAAATAACGAACTAATGAGCCTATTATTAATCTAAAGTTCCAGACGATTATTATTTATATAAAGAAGGTTCGATAGTCGTCCGCCATGAATCAAGATCAAAATCCAAGATGGTCATTAGCTGAGGCATGGTTACCAACGCGCTAGAATATACTACATAAAGTGAATGTAGCGACGCCATGTTTAATTAAAGAAAATTGAATACACGCCGCCATTTTCCTTTTAGTCAACGGGTGTGGCATTTGTGTTATATGTAAAGACAACGAACTAGAATATTCTAACTCGTTGAGTAAAAGCGTGCGAAGGAAAAGAAGAGATTTAAAGGATGAAGGGTGGTGAGATAAAGGAGTGTCATATGTCGTATATCTCGAGAGAGGTCGGACTTAATGAAGATATTATTCGTTATTAACATTTACAGTTTTTCTTTTTATAAAATTCATCACTAACTTGAAAATTAAGCTTTTTGCCATTCGATAATAATTAAAAATATAAAAAGTTATTTTTTAAATAAAATTCATAACAGCCGGAAAAGTTACGCAACTCGTTGCATGATTTTTTTCACAAGTTGCTAGGTTTAAAATGAAGTAATGTTTTAAGTTAAAAGAAATAATAATAATAAAACTATATTAATAATTCTTATCTTCTTATTTATATTAAAACTATATTAATAATTATAAAAAGTGCTGCAATTTTTTATTATACTTTTAATTTATTTAATTTAAAATATACGTTCTCAACCTCAAATTATTAGTAGTGGCTTTCCCCTATACAATATACTTTTTACTTAATAATAGAGCGTGCGGATCATTTATTAACTGCTTTCAGGGGAAGTTTTGAATTGCAGTAATGTAACTTCCGCTTTACATCAAACATTCGTTTATAGTCAGGGTCTCCTGCCCCCAAGGTTTTCATAACTAGTCTCGGATTTCATCTATCTAATTCAGTTCTCGAGATTAAGGAATGACGGACAGACGAANGGAAGATATTGAATAATAATAATTATTATTAATATCCGAAAAATAAAAGGTAATACTGTATTTTGTTAGAAAAATAAGACAAAATGTACAGTACCTACTTAATTAGTAAATTATTATTTTTCTACGTAAGTGTTTTGTGTTAGTTTTTTGTTTTTTATTGTTTTATAGTGAATAATAAAATAAATGACGAAAAAGAATGTTATTGTTTATGTGCAACCTCCTTTCTGCCACAAAAAGTCGATTTACCGAAATCTACCGAAAATTGCCTAATGAATCTACCGATGGCAAGCAAATCGGCGTGGCAACACTGGGTAGGCCAAAGTCTATGTTGATTTGGTTAGGCAAAAGTAGTGAGTCGCGTTAGCGCCTATGCCTTTTTAAGTGTTTTTGTAGTGTTTTTAGTTATTCCAAATTTTATTTTTTTGAGTTTTTTGTAATATACGATTGTTGTATTCGGCTTCAGATCGTCGGTTTTTAAGAAGATGGACTGTACAGGGCCCACTAGTGGCCAAACGGTCTTTGTATCCTGAACACTGGGAGTTCGGTCGTGGGTTCGCGCTTCGCTCGGACGGGTTGGTCACGTGAAGTTTCCGGGTTTTCTCCACATCTGTAACGCCTAAATAGGGGTCAGTTTCCCTTAAAAAGACCTCCCAAAAGGCATCCCGTAAGCAGATCGCCCAAGTGTTGCGTTGCCACAACTTAACAAACAAACAATGAACTGTACATGAATTTAGAACTGGTGAATTTTTTGGAATTTTTGAATAGACATTCGTGGGAAGTGAAAATGTCATGCACAGAGTTACTATAACAGCAAAAGTTGTACATTTTTTACATCATTCGCAAAAATCAAACTGAAAAAATCAAACTAATGTAAGGTGGAGAAACTAGATATTTGCCTCAAACCATAAAACTAAATCAGGAAAAACGTTGTCCCACTTATATTACATTCATAACTATAATATTGTTTTAGATAATTTTATGTAAATATTAATAAATTGGATAGTGAAGTATACACTATATTTATGTAACTTTCGTTCTAATATTGGAACAGTTTTATTTAGAAAAATCGTTTCTAACTTTTGATTTATTATCCACTTCTATTAATTAACAGAGCTGTAGAGCATATTGATAGGAACAAAAAAGTCAAAGGAACCGTGCCTCATGGAAATTTGTAAAGAACGCCCACTAGGGGGCGTCCCGAGCTACTAGTACCGTGTTTCCCCGAAAATAAGACATCCGCAGAAAATAAGACCTAGCACAGATTTTGCTGAATTGCGAAATATAAGACCTCCCCCTGAAAGTAAGACCTAGCGAAGTTTTTTTAGTCGTAACGGTCATCGACAGATGGTTGAAAGTGGCAGTTGGCTTTTTGAAAGTACAGCCACTGATTGGTCAGCAGACAATTACGCCACACGGCATGATTTGCATAAGACTATGGCTTGGGAATCACAGATTTGCATAACGTTACGGCTGGTGATGGCTAATTGGTCGGCCGGGAATCACGCCACATGACATTTGCATAGTGCTACGGTTCAGTAAGCACTAATTGGTCATCGAGTCCGATGTTGACGCTATAAAAAGGCGACAGTTCGACACACCGGATATACGTCACTCTCGTCTAAGTTCGACTTGGGAATTTTTTTGTTCAATAATAAATGTGAATTCTTCTTCCTGGAAAAAATAAGACATTCCCTGAAAATAAGACCTAGCGCATTTTTCAGAGCAAAAATTAATATAAGACATTGTCTTATTTTCGGGGAAACACGGTATATAAGAAACGAAGGTACAAAGAAATGTTTTATTGAGAATTTTTAGATACATTGAAAATAAAAATTTCTTTCTTGAAGTATCGTAAACTTTTCGGTAGATTTGGTGCTTCAATCGGTAGATCGGTCCCAAAATCGGTAGATCTAACGAAAATTCGGTAGACGTGGCAACATTGGGCCTACCGGGCGATCGGAACGCCGCCCTATCGGGAATAGTTGTCTCGAAAACGAAAGGTGATAACAATAGCAGATCTCAAACCAGATTATCTAATAACTATGGCTAAGGCAACTGCTCGCACAGTTCAATGCAATTATACGAAAATTATCGCATAATTTATTTATTCTTGCAGTTTTATAGGTCATTTTTTAAATCTAAAGTTTAGTGTTAATCTTTATTCAACAATAAATTTTGTCTGAATAACTTTGCACTAGTTTGATTTTTTCAAGTTCGTTTCTCGCATAGCCTTTCGTCATCTCGTAACTTTTGTTACATTGGTAAACTTTTTTAAAACTCTTGCATACTCTTACAAAACGAGTTATAATATTCGAGCTTGCTGCCTTTACACAACACAAACGACACGCCCCTTGACTCAAAAATGGTGGACGTGTATTCACTTTTCTTTAAACATGGTGTCGCTACAGCCACTCTATGTAGTATTTTCTAGCTCATTGATTTTTACTGTGCGATTAGTGTAATATAAGTTAATGTCGTTAACATTTTTTTCTTATTATATTGACAACGTTTAAAAAATAATTTGATTTGTGATATTAATTTTCTTGCTTCAAATCTATTTAATCAACCCGATTGGTTTATTATTATCATTAAGATTATTGATATAAACATAATTCCGAATGACAACAATAAAATTAATGCCAGATAACATTAATATTATTATTTTATCATTTTAATCGAATTGCACTTAAAAAATAAATTAGTAATCGAAAATTCTAATATCATCCTTTTTGTTTTGATTAAATGATAATTTTCAAATATGTATTAGCTTATTAATTATTGAAATTTTATCATTCAGCTTACATTATTAAAATATTTTATAAATAATATGCGTAATGCTATATCAAAACTTCGTTCAAAACGGATCCAGAGAATTTTTTAATTGATGTCTTGATGCATTTCCGCATAATTTACCTATTATATGTTTAAAAAAGACCAACTTGAAATTACTTAACCGTGGCCGGATGAATAAAACTACTGAACACTAATTAAGAACACAAAATTTCATAAAAGCGCTCAAACCACTCCGGTAAAGAAAATCACTCGCGGATTCGAGCCTGACTAACAAACTGTGTACATGAATTTTTCCGGGTTTTCTTCACATGTCTAGCACCTATATAGGTGTCAGTTTCTCGTAGAACGAAAGGCAGATCACCCCAAGATTAATGGAATTCAATCAATCTTGAGGCGAATTTGCTTTACTGCATGAATCCTTTAGATACAATCTAAATGTATGGTTACGAAACAGAAATTAGTGCCGTCTTCGATTTATTAAAAACATTTCCTACAAAATTAATTTTTAAATATTAAAATCAAAGAAATATTATGCCAGAAAATGTCTTTTGGGATAGTGTTATTGCTGTCGAAATAACCGAATAATTTCAAGATATTATATATATATATATATATGATGCCAAAACAGGATGCCAAATTCATCCCATCTAAATCGTCTTACCTAAAAATTTTCATGAAGACATGAAGACAGAAAAATTTGACTGAAACGTCGTTATGTGTACTACTGAAAACTACTCATTACTACATATATCCAAGACATCGTTAATTAGAGAATAAATAAACGGCTTTTCCTGACTCTTTAAGGTGTAAAGTCACGTGTCCGATTATTTGTACGTATTTCCATTATTTAATGCTTGTGTTACATTTTTATTGTTATAACTTTTTATATTAGACTAGTGTTTTCTATGCAAATTTTTAATGTACTTTTAAGAAGGGCTTATTAGATACATGCCGCCTGAAGCCGTCGCCTAGCTGCCTCATACCATCAACCGGTCATGAACCAAATACAGGCTATTTGGCTATATTTTTCGTTATTACTATCGCTTTGTTTACCGAAGAATGCTTTGTTTATCTGTTGGCAAACGGTATTATGGACTATCTATCACTTTCTTTGACCAAGATGCTAAACGATTGCAGGACACGAAAACACTACAATAGAATTCGTTTCGGTTAAACTAAAACTGATTTACACGAGAAAACACACCTTAAAATTCAATTGCTAGCTTGCAGGTTGCTGCTCTTATTTGGTACTGGTCATTTGGACCAAGTAACACATATGATGTATGGATGCGGTGCTGTAACAATTCTAGGTGTTTTATTTCGTGGGCGAGTTCTGAGTATTTACTAATTCTTTTCTGTGGAGTTGCAGGGGGTTTCTTCTGACACCCGTGACGTGGCCTGGAGAAACAGGCGGATGAAAAACATACCTTTCTCAGGGAGAAAATTTGAGCTGTCCCGAATGAGCAACTCGGGACACGCGGATGGAGAAGGAATTTAAGGGAGACGAACATCCAGAAGTGATTCGCTCCGCTAAATTAACATTACAACCACAAAGATTTATTTAACATAGGAGAATAATTGATAACAGCTAACACATTCATCAATATACAATTCCTAATACATTTATAAGTAAAATAATTAATGCACCTCTTGGTTATCTATTGTATCTGAAATATCAGGCATGAAGTGCCAAATACTACCTGAAGTTAGTGGATAATCGAGGTCCTGAGGAGATTTGAAACAAAATATGCAATTGGTTTGCTTATCCAGCTATATTAAAGCGCTCTCTACGATGTAATGTATCAGTTTCTCCCTACCGAGGAATTTTGGAATTAAACTTTTATTGACAAATTCCAAACTGTATCTTGTAGATTAATCTAAATATACAGTTCATAATTTCACCGTACTCCATTTAACTTTTAAACATCAATTTAATTATAGATTACTTTATTTATGAATTGTTTTGAAGATGGAAAATAATTTAAACAAAACCACATTTATTCTTTCTCTCCAAGAAAGAGTTATGTATATTCCATATTGAAGATAACTTGTACAGTGGATTATCATTTATATATTTTAATCATTTAACTCTTATCCCTTTTATTCGATTTCTTTTCAAATAATATATTTAGTAACATTTCCTGAGACGTATTCAATTCTTCAGGAATCTTTATCAGAAAGGTTTTAGGTCCTATTTTTGTCACGGAAGATTCATTTTTCTCTCCAACTTTTCTATATTCTTTTAAAAAGGTTTTAACTAAAGTAGATGAAGATTGTTGCTGATCATCGTTATTTCCAAAGGATCGTTTATCATCTCGAATTAATCTGTTCGTTATAATAGTTCTCGCTACCGATTCCATTTCTTTCAATACATCATTATCCAATTTATCGTCGACTTTCTTATTTTGATTAATCCTAGAAATCAAAACATTTTTCATCCCTGTATGAATTTCTTCAATAATATTTCTGTCTGATTGTATTTTTTCACATTTTTGAAAGATATCAGAAAATATTTTATCCGTAATTTGATTAAAAGTATTTTCTAAAGTTACATTTCCATCGAAGCATTTGTATAAAGCATTATGCGTTTCAGATAGAAAATCTTCAGAATCTATCGTCGATGTATCTCTGAGAACGTAACGTTTTTCTCGTTGATTCCATTCGTACAAGAAATGTTTTCGAAGAATATTCAGATCGTTTTTTTCCGATCGTATAATTTTAGGAATTTGCGAAGCGTGTGAAAAACGGGCCTTTTGAAAATTTGTTTTTTCGTTGGAATTTTTGTCTTTGGTCTTCTTCGAAACATGTTTATTCCCTTCTTGAAAATGTTTGAAATCTTCAGAAATAATCAATGTTTCGTATTTATTCGGTGAGATGGGCATTTTCATTATTGTAAAATGCTCCTGACTTTGGTCATTTATTGTTTTTTCGTATTTATTTATTGTAGTCACTTCAGGATTTTCTTCTGACGAATCTTCGTCGTCTTCTTTTGGAATTTTATTTTGAAAAGTTTTATACGTTTTAGTTTTTTCGAATATTTCGTTTAAATCTTGTTCACTGCAACTATCGAGTTCATCCTAGACAAACATGAAAATAAATCCGTAATAATAATAATTGTGATTCTTTATTCGTTTGATAATTAAGAAAGTTCTTACCACTTCATTCTTTTCCCCAAAACAAAAAATTAATTTTAAAAGCTTCGACATAATTCTATTTGAATTAATAAATTTAGTAATTTGGTACAAAATAAATTAAAATTGTTTATTTTAATCCATATAAAAAAAGGAAGCCCGTATGTAAAAACTATATAACCATTAATATGCACTATTACCGATATACTTAATTTATCCATTTGTATTATATAATACAGAATTAATTATACTTAATAATACATTGTGGAAATAATAATGATACATTTTATTTAATTATTAGGTATTGTTTTTAAATGTATAATTTGGTTTAATTAATACAAACTATTTGACAATAAACTACAAATTTAATAAAAATTGAAGACAAAAACTGCCCAAAAAATAATAATGACAAAATAGATCATTTTAATCAAAAAATTACGTTAATTGCTACATAGTTCCCATAGATATGACACTAGCCAATTGAATCGAGCTACAGACTTACATTATTTATTGGCTTGCAATTTGAAAAAATTGTAGACAAATTCCCACTGTTGTCCGTCTGTCTGTTTGTCTTCCTCAATCTCGAGATTATTGCTAGATAGGAGAAAGTTAAGATAAGAGGTAGAAAGCTTAGTAACAGGAGACCCCGATTAACTATATAAGAACTTCTGATGCAGACTAAAAATCATGTTATTTCAATTCAAAAATTTTCCTTGAAAGATGTTAGATACCCGCACGACTCATTTGTTATAGGAAAAGTATGATATACAGGGGCAAGACACTGTTAATTTAATGGTGAGCATATATTTTAAATTAAATAAATTTAAAAATATTATTAAAAATTGCTGCCCGGCATTGTGACGATGTCACAATAAATAATTGCTCGTTGTCTCTTATGTTCTTTAGAATTAAGCACAGAATTGCTATAAAGAACTCATACAGGAACATTTTTATGATGGAAAAAGTAGACTTTATTTTCTAGTTTTTATGAAAGGAAATACAGTTCGGGCCAATTTGCCCCTTGTCAGTCCTTAATGTATAATAATAGTAAAATTGAAATGATATCTAATGGTGATCAATGGAATAATTAAGTATTTAAAAACATAGGGGTAAAACAAGTGATGTTTAAAACTAAAAAGGTAAAACTTGGTAAAATATAGAAAAATTGGCAAATAAAAGGATAAAAACATAAAAACTTTAAAATAAAACAATAGAAACTGACTAAAATAAAAGATGTAAAATGCTTCACCGTACATGTACGTTTATCAGACAGGTTGATTGTCATACGATCAATCGTCCTTTCATAAAAAATAGAAAATAAAAAACTTTTTCCATCAAAAAAGTGTTCTTATATGATAAGTTCTCTATAGCAATTCTGTGCTTAATTCTAAAGAAGTTATTGATTTTTACAACGTTTTACTTTCTCGGGTGTTACGTATACAGAACGAGCAATTATTTATTGTGACATCGTCACAATGCACTTTAGTAGTGTCTTGTCCTGTACATCATATTATTCCTGTTAACAATAAACTAATGCCGGTCGTGTATGTAACTCCATTCAGGAGAAACTTTTCGAATTAAAATAACATAACTGTCGGCCAAAAGCTGAAGTTCTTGTACAGTTAATCAGAGTCTTTTGTCCTCAAGTTTTCTATATCTCGTCTTAACTTTCACCTATCTACCACCGTTCTCGAGATCGAGGAAGGACAGACAGGCAACGGACACGTAATTCGTTCCTAGTTACGTGTTGTCTAGTGTATCGATGGCCTAACACTCTAATGTTAAATTTAATATTTATTTACAAAACGATAATTCAATTAAACATGATTGTAGCTTTGTCCTCTTAATGATTTTTATGGATTTCTCAAAAACCGACTCGAAATTTATCTTGCTTGTCTATACCTAGATTTTGTCTTTCTTTGTCATCTATTTAGTGTAATGTATTAATATGAATATAGGTTGGCGTGGGAAAAGTAGCCCTGGTTTATAGTTTATTGGAAATACAGAATAAACGTAAAGACCTAATACTGATATCAGCGTCATAGAAGATATTGAAAGTGGTTATCTTTCGCATATTTTTACACAGCTACGCACGTCGAACAGTGGTCTTCCGTGTTTTCTAAAATATATTTTTTCTAATTCATATTTATTTGGCATCTATTGTAAAGTTCAGTTATCAAAACTATTTTAAGATTATAGCAATGTTAAATTGCTTTTTAAACTGTTCCATTACAGTACTTTGCTCTTTCTCCCATTTATCCAACGAACCATGCAATTTAGAACGCCAGACCATATTATCAGCGTAGCGTTCGATGTCACAATATCTAAGTTACTTTAACATATCTTAGAAACTTGATATGGGCACTCGAAATGAATATCATAATTAAACAATTAATCGTTTAAATCATGCTTTAAAATTTTATAATTATAATACTGTATTTATATACATATCAGAATGTTCGAAAACATAATCAATACGATTCGAATCCGTTCAGTTTGCTCCGAGCAACGAAATACGTTCAAATAAAAGAAATCGAGCAGACAATAGAGCGTTCATAAATTATATTCAAATTAAAATCTTCCTCAAATATCGATTTAAAAGTGTTATTAATATATAAATACGATCTGAAAATTTTTAAAAATTATTCTAAATATTTATACATAAATAAAATTAAAAAAAAAAATATTTTAATATATTTAATGTGCTACAAATAACCCTAAATGAACGAACCATGTTTCCACTAATAATTATAGCCGCGCCACCTGGCGTTGATAACCGGAACCACCTATCACAACAAGTTATGACGACTGCTGTATTGTTTTAACGTTTGTTCAGTTTCTGTGAATGTTTTTTTGAATACTTTCAATAATGAAGAAAGTGTTTTTTATATATTTAACATGCTTGCTATTCGGTAAGTATTATGTTTAACGTTAAAATAATTCAAATATTTGACTTTAAAATGTTTCCTTTATTAACTTGATAACATGGAAACTTGGCATGTATTTACAGTACTTATTAAAATATTTATTTTCTTTATTTATATGTTACTGATGATAACTTATTGATGTTTTTCAGATTTTTAACAAAAATTCCAACTAAAATAAGTTTTAATTGAAATATTTGTACCATTGCAGCATAAAATATGAACAAAAAGGTATTAAAAACTTGAAAATCAAATTTCTGATACAAAAATAGCTTAAAATTCTAGAAAAACAGACTGAAAATTCCTGAAAACACATAAAATTTTACTGCTTTAAAAAAATTAAAGAAATTTTAAAGTGTTATTTAAAGAGTTAATTTATTTTCCATACTCTTGCACTGTTAATTAACAGAGTTCATCATAAAGGTTATATAAGCTATACATTGTTAAAACACAGTCATTTATAATAATATTACCTTTTAAAGCACGGGCTTCATCTTTAGATCTTCATGTACTTGTTACTCTACTATTATTTTATTGCTAATTTAGTTAGAAGCAATAGAAGAGACGCTGCTACGATTTATCTGTAACTACGCTGCTCTGTTCTGACAGATGTATTCGTATGGGCACATCTTTTTTTGAGTGATTTCTGTCATTTTTATTTTAGGTTTTTTATTGCCTTAACAGATCAGACTTAGTAATTTATTGTTGGGTTTGAGTAGTTGATCTTCCTCTTTAGATTGAAGTGTGTTTGGCTCTACTCCTTACTGATTTCATTTTATATTCTTCTAGTAAAAAACAATATTTTTATTTTAAACTCTTCATTCGGCTGATGCTGTTATTAAAATTTAACAAATGTAAATATTTTTATCCTATAATTAAATATATTTTTTTATTTTTAGCATTTCTTAGTTTTATCGTTTTCATTAATTTTCAATGATATTCCTACCCATAAAGAGCTATATAGTAATTTCTTTGAATGATGCAATTTTCATTACAAAAAATTCAAAAAATTTGATTTTTGGCATTGAGATAATTTTTTATTTTTTCAATTAAATTTACAAATCTAGCAAGAACTTTGCCTTTACTGAGCCAACATACTTGAGTATGTAGAATGAGATCAGGATCTTCAGGATTTTCTAATAGGGCCTTGAAAAGGTGGTGTTGCAAAGGAGCTGCACGAATTAAGTTGACTATTTTTGTAATTATTTTCATGACGTGTCCGAAGGGTAGTATTTTACCACACAAAACTTCCTGGTGGATAATACAGTGATACGACATAAAATTTGGAAATGATTTATCTTTTATGCAGAGGGCAATAAATCCATTGACATTACCAACCATTGCTGGTGCTCCGTCAGTGGTTATCGCAGACAACTTCTGGAGAGGCATATCTATCGACTTTGCATATGTTATAAATATTTTATAGATATCCTCACCTGTTGTTCGTCCTTTCATGGGTAATATTTTTAGTAGATCTTCTTTTACAGTAAAGTCACTAAATACCATTCTCACCATAACTGCTAACTGTGCTGTGTCTGATATGTCGGTAGACTCGTCAAATTGAAGTGAGAACCACTCACATATTTCCAAATCACTCTTTAACTGAGTTTGCATATCCTTTGAAATGGCTTGTATTCTTCTTGTAACGGTGTTATCTGACAACTGTAAGTCTTGTATTGCTGACATGATCTCACGTTTGTTGGAAAATCCCTCAAATAAGCAATCGGC